AGAGTTTATACACCAGCCCGTGAACGGCTTGGAGAAATCAAGCAAGCTACAGTCACTACAGGAACCTTAAGCTAAGATATGTAACAGAATTAGGCCGCAGACCCCAAAGAAATCTAATCAAGTCGGCCTCCTCTCCCCGGTTATCTTTGGAGCCAGCTTTCTGGGGAGTGTGTGTTTGTGAAAGGATTTGCTGTATTTGCTTCAGGCAAATCTTTGCCTTTCCTCTGCCTGCAGTTTCGGTACCAAAGGGAAGGGTCCAGGGACAGCAAGAGGAGAGACCCAGGCTGGTGGTGGGCAGGTGGGCACGGCAGGCCAGCGTGGCTCCCTGGGCTTTGTCTGCAGGGCCGCGTCACTTGGCTCGCCCTGAGCCAGTGCTCTGTGCTCACGCCTGCTCTACAAGGGGACTCGAGGCACCAGGGAGGTTTCAGATGGGGAGGAGCTAATTTAGGGCCGCAGCTCCCGTTGCTAGATCGGAGGGTGTGGACCTGTTCTGGGAGGACCCTGAAGGCAGAACCAGCAGAGGCCGCCCTGGGAGGCCCGTTTTGCCTCACGAGATAAACTAATAGGGCAGCCTTGTCGGTAGTGAGTGACCCAGCTGGGGAGGTATCCAAGGATAGGTGGGGGTGTGTACAGAGCCATGACTCAGGAAGAGGATTGGCCGAGGCAACTTGGAGATCTTTCTTGATGCTGAGACTGGGAATTTCCATTCCTAACGTAACTGACCAACCCAAGTGGGGCTGATGGGAAAAATTAGCAAAGAAAGAAAGTGGCAGGGTAAGGTGCTCAGACTAGGGAACCCACAGACCCTGGGGAGGCACCGAGGGGCACCCAATGAAGACCCCGCCCTTGGTTTTCCAACAGCACTGCCATTCTGGACACTCAAATGTCCTCTTTTCTCTTGCGATCATCTGTAAACCTCCATTAACCGTTCATCATAATGACCAATAATGTGTTACTGATAATCGCTGATCACTAACCACAATACGCCTAGCACAGATGGGCAGCTACTGAGACGGGCTCTGTCCTAAGTACTCGACACGCATAAATGCATGTCACGGACAGGATGGTTCTGTGAGCAATGTCTTTACTTTTGCCATCATCCCCATTTTACAGATGAGGAAACTGAGGCCCAGAGAGCGCCAGGCGAAGTCCCAGGACTCAGAGCCAGGCTCGGGAGGGGAGCTGGGAAATGCTGGCAGAGGGCTGCGGGATAGCTGCCCCCCACCTAGGGGGCTGCTGCTGCCCTCGGTGGGCGGGGACCCTGGCCACTGCCAACCGTAGTGGTTCAGAGGAGCAGAACCCAGAATGAGAATAGAGGAAGGGGCCGTCTCCTCCGACTTCCTTCCTGATTACCCCAGGGAAATAAGTATCAGAGAGGGGAAGAGTTATCTCAAGGTCATCAACCAGTCCAGTGGCCTCTGGGTCTCCTGAGTCCTGCACGTGGGCCTTTCCTACCACATTCCCACATCCCCCTGTTCTTTAAAAATGATATTTATTTAATGTTTATTTATTTTTGAGAGAGAGAGAGGAAGACACAGAATCCGGAGCAGGCTCCAGGCTCTGAGCTGTCAGCCCAGAGCCCGACACGGGGCTCGAACCCACAAACCGTGAGATCGTGACCTGAGCCAAAGCTGGACGCTTAACCAACTGAGCCACCCAGGCGCCCCTCAAGATGCTTTAAAAAATCATCACTGGTAGCATCTTACTAAGAAAACATTATTAAAGGAACCCGAAGACCTGCCGTATGTCGAGCAGTTATCATGTGCCAGGTAATGTGTGCTGATACCGGTCCCTCACCTGCAAAATGGGAATAGGCACAGTGCTCCCCTGCTGACCTCATAGGAAGGGATCAAGGTTAAAGGTGACCGTGGACATGAAGCCACTTGTAAACTGGAAGACATTGTCAATGCGCTCATCTTTGAATGTGGGGCGTAGGAATTAGAAGTTAAATGCTGCGGCTCCTCGCGTTTAGGGCTCGGAAATAATCAGTGGTTCCAGGGTTAGCTCCTTGCTAGAAAGCACCCCCGGCCGCTGTTCGTTTACTCATCCATCCCCCTGAATGTCATAGATTGAGTATCACGTGGGCACAGGAGCGTGTTCAACCCGGTGGCTTTGGGCACAGGCTCTGGGTCAGTCTTCCTTGGCCTGAGTTCTTCAAGTGTTGGCCTGACCCCTTCCCCGCTGATGTGGATTTCCCTGTCAGACCTTCAGGGTCTCTGTTAGGATGCAGCCCAGCTAGTCTACGAAAACCCAGGGAACCCAAGCTAGAGGAGAGAGGAGCCGGTTTCCTTTACGTGGCAGTCGAGGGGGTTCCGCTCCAGGAGCTGGTCCAGGGCCCACGCTCCTTCTGTCTTTCCCATCCTGTGGAGGAGTCTTCCCCCGCTTCCCCACCCCCATTCTTTCCTGTGAGTGTCAGGGGCACCCTAAAGAGTGGAGGCCACTCCTTCCTTTTAAGGGCAATCTGGAAGGGACTTAAACACCTCTCTTGTGTCCCATTGGCCAGAACCGATCACATGGCCACACCTAGTTGCAAGGGAGACTGGGAAATGTAGTATTTAGCCTGGCGGCCATGGGCCTCGTTAAAACCCTGGGAGGGGATGCACTGTGAACTAAAGAGGAGGTGGCAGGGGGCGCCTGGGTGGCTCAGTAGGTTAAGCGTCCGACTTCAGCTCAGGTCACGGTCTCACTGCTCGTGGGTTCGAGCCCCACGTCGGGCTCTGTGCTGACGGCTCAGAGCCCGGAGCCTGGTTCGGATTCTGTGTCTTCCTCTCTTTCTCTGCCCCTCCCCTGCTCGTTCTCTGTCTCTCTCTGTCTCAAAAAGAAAGAAACATTAAAAATAAAAAGAAATAAAGGGGAGATGGCAGAATGGACACTGGGCAACAGCCAGAAGTCTCTGCCAGGTAGGATTCAAGGAGATACTTTGGGGACACTCAGCACGGGGCCGGATATACGGCTCATGCTCAGGTAAAATGTGCCATTATCACTGGTATTATAGGTGAGTCCTTTTCCCTTTCCCAAGGGATTCAGGGGCCCTGGGACTGCTCTGGCTGCTTTGTGGGGGTCTCCGACCCATGCTGTCCACCCTCTAGGTGATGAGGAGAAGCACCGAGAGACAGCAAGCCCCAGCCCACCCCCTCAGGGCCCCACAGCCCAGGCTTCTCTCCGTTCCAGGGAAAAACAGGAAAGCAGGCTTTTCTCTAGGGCTTGGAGACAAGGAGAAGCGACCGACATCGGGCACCTTGCAGCCCTGCCCCACAGCCGCCTCCGCGGAGCATGGCAGCCTCTGCCGCCCCGCGGCTCAAGGCCACGTCCACTCTGCAGGCTCTCAAACGCTGGTCAGGAGACCAGATAGACATCCTGGCAGCACCAGCTGATTTGAGCTCAGGAATGTTCCCTGAATATTCTCCTCTGAACCCAGAGCCCTCTCCAGCCCAAGGAGACTGGCAGGTGACCCAGGAAAGTGTGCACTGTGTTCCCTCGACTCCCGCTCACCCCCAGCCACTGAACAGGAGGGTCTCTTCTTCTGCAGACCCTGGGTTGGGGCAGGAGCTGAGACCCCCAGATTAGACGACCCTGACTCTGCCCCTTAGCAGCTATGGTAGCTGACCTCTCCGAGTCTAATGAGGATCATCACGGCCTCTATAGCTCCATCTTATGGTCAAGACTTATAGAATAATCCATCCAAGGTGCTTGTGGAGGGAAGGGGCTCATGGGACGATGCCTGCTCAGATCAGAATTGTGCCTGTTAGCCTTGACTGTCTATCACCTGTCCATGCCTCCTGTCGTCCGCACGCTAAGCAGGGGGGCTTTTCCGAGCCACCACCCCCACCCCGACTGGGCAGGTCCCCTGCGTATGCCAGCTTTGCACCCTAGCGTTGGCCTTCCCGGCACTTTGCACAATCATGGTGAATTAATTATGTGGGTGGAGCGCTGCCCTCCAGACGCAGTCTTGAGCCCTTGGGGACCGTGGCTATTTCATTCGCCGCGATAGCCCTAGTGCCTGGCACAGGGCTTGGCATGACGAGGATTCTAGGAAAGGCTTGTGGAATGAATGAATGGGTGCTTGAATGAATGAATGGGTAATTGAATGAATGAATGGGTACTTGAATGAATGCATGGGTAATTGAATGAATGGATGGATGAGCGAGAAGGTGTTTTTGCCGTCAGCCTGAGAATGTATCTTTAAGAGCAGAGTTCATAGACTTGGGAAGCCTCTGATCTGAATGTCAGCCCTGTCCTTGACTTGCCAGGCGACCAGGAGCAAGACCTTGCTTCTTTTGAGCCCCAGTTTCCTCATCTGTAAAACGAGGCTAACACGCCTTCAGAGAGAGTGGCGAGGAAGACAGCGGGGGAAAATAACTCAGATATGGTGCACCTGACACGTAGTGAGTGCTCAGAAGCGCTGCCTGTAATAATAATAGCCGTCGTTATTGTTGATGTTCTTCGTGAAACACCAGGGAGTTTTCTCTGCACTTTATCTCCAGACCCCCTGGACTGACCCCCTCTCCTTGACCGCTGGAGAAGTCAGGAACGGCTGATAAAAGCTTCCATTCATTCATGGACACGGTGAATCAATAAGTTTTCTGAGTGTCCCCTGGGTGCTGGGCCCAGGGCTGGATGCTGGTGGCCCGGGACAGGAAGGAGGGCCCTGCACCGGAGGGGGTGGGTAGGGAGGGACCAGCAGGTCAGTCCTCTGCACAAAGGAAGTGGCTGAGGCTCCCTGCCTGAATCCTGTCCTCCCCCAGCCCCCATGGCCCATCCATCTGTGTCCTTTTCCTGTGGCTTTTTCGTCCCAGCCTGGGCAGGGGGCTCTGTGCCCCCAGCCCACCTGCAAGCCATTTCCTGCCCTCCTGTCATCTCCTTCCTTTGATCCCTTTTGTGGAGGCACTTCTGGAAGCTTCTGGACCCTTGGCAACCTCCTTCCCCGGGCGGGGCCTGGCCTGCTGACCCCCACCGGGGCTGGGCCAAAGCGGGCTCCTCATGGGAGGCTGCCCTGGGAGACAGATGGGTCATGGTGTTACCCGTTCACTCGCAGGCTCCAGGCCTGTGCGGGGGCCCACAGAGCGAACGAGACAGTCGTGGTCCCTGTCCTCGGGGAGCTCGCAGCCCAAAGGGGCAGCAGCCTTTCCCACACCAAGGGAATCCCCCCCAGAGCTCCCACAGCAGGAGTGGTCCAAGGACCCAAGCAAGGAACACCGAGCTGGGAGTCGGGGGCTCTGGGGAGCACCTTTGCTTCTGAGCCTCGGTTCCGCATGCGGGCCGTAGCTCGGCTGGAGACACAGGATGGCGCTCTGTCCAAGCTCGAAGGCCACGAGAGGTCATGGAGTGCCCGGCCTCGCCAGAATGGACTTCCTGGGCACAGGAAGGGGTCCCTGGCCCCAGCAGGGAGGCAGGGTGGAGGCCGGAGGTGGAGGGAGCCCAGGTACGAAGACAGACGGAGGTGCATCTTTGGTCAGAGAGGGAACAGGGCCTTGGCCTCTGCCCTTCCCCTGGCCCAGGGCGGGAGCTGCCCTGATGCTCGTGGGGGTGGGGCTGACATTTATTAAAAAAAATTTTTTTTTTCAACGTTTATTTATTTTTGGGACAGAGAGAGACAGAGCATGAACGGGGGAGGGGCAGAGAGAGAGGGAGACACAGAATCGGAAACAGGCTCCAGGCTCCGAGCCATCAGCCCAGAGCCCGACGCGGGGCTCGAACTCACGGACCGCGAGATCGTGACCTGGCTGAAGTCGGACGCTTAACCGACTGCTCCACCCAGGCGCCCCCAGGGCTGACATTTATTGAGCACACGCCACCTGCTAGGCACGCTGGGCTGAGCTACTGACAGCAGGCGCAAATCTGTGGACTCCCCACTCTGGTCCTATGAGGCAGGTGCCCATTATTCTCCCATTTTACAGATGAGCAAATTGAGGCACAGAGAGCTGAAAGCTACCCAGGGCCCTGCGGTTGGTAAGTGGCAGGGCTGGGTTTTGAACTGGGTTTTCCTTGACTTCAGCACCCCCGCCCCATGCTGTTCCGTCCCTTGGTGGATGACTAGGGGGCGGGGCTTCAGGCATCAGGATCCTGGGCTCACCTCTGCTGGGTCCGGAGGGGGACCGGCCCTTTCCATGTCCTGCCTCAGTAGTTTCAGCTGGGTGGCCGGGAAGTTCTCACCTCCGGGAGAGTAGAGGCCCACCTTCCTGGGGAGTCCTTCAGAGGGCAGCGGGTGTGGACTGAATGTAGCCTCCTGTCTGTAGTCCCCACCCACCAGGGGCCCCTGGCCACTTTTCACTTATTCCCGTATTCATTCATTCGTTCATTCGTTCATTCATTCACTCAGGCGTCAGAACACACAGGTACAACGAGAGAGGCCCGGCGTCTGTCCTTAGGGAACTTTCCGGAGAGCTGAGGTGACACAAGTGAACTTGTGAATGAAGGAGTCCAGGGGACGAAGGCAGAGGGGTGAACATGGCCTGGGTTGGCAGCGGGGGGGCGGGGGGGGGGGACAGAGTGACCAGATGTGGCAGAGGACTCACGTGTGGGCTGGTGCTGGGAGCCCAGGGTCCCATGCCCTTGTGGGTGCGGGGTGGAGCCGTTGGGGGCCAGTCCCGGCCCAGTCACATCCTTTAAAGTCTGTGGGCTTCCCTGAGGCTGCACCGAGTACAGGGGGCGGTGGGGCGGGGCAGGGATGAGGGGAGACGGAGACAGGGAGGCCCTGAAGAGGCTGATGTGTGGGGAGAGGTGGTGAGGCTGGACTTGGGGGTGGCTGTGGGGAGGGAGGGAGAGGGGTAGACTTGCTTAGGATTGGGTGCGGGCATGGGGGCGGGGAGGTCAAAGAGGAACCTGAGTTTGGGGACCTTTACTTTCCAGCACGGGGAGCCCCGGGACGGAGGGACGGCCTGAGGTTGGGGTGAGTGGCGCAACCCCGGGACCACCGCCCTGCTCAGAACCCCCCCTCCGCCCCCCGCCACCGCCCAGCGACCCGCAGTCTCTCACCGCTGCCCGCACCCCGCCCCCCCCCTGCAACCTCATTGTCCTGTGATTGATGAAGGCCCCCCGTGCGGTGTTTGTTCAGCTGTCCGGACCCCACCCCCCGGGGCTGGCTGCGCGTCTGTCCCTGTGCATCTGTCCATCTCAGAGAGGACGAAACCTAAGGAGCAAGAGTGGGGGCCCCCGAGGCAGAGTGGAAACCCACCGGGGTTTGGAGCCGCGCCCTCCTCGCTCTGCTTTGCCGGGGATGACTCATCCCGGGAAGTGGACAGTCCAGACCAAGGCTTTGATCCTCTGCTGGCTACAGGCGGCGTAGCCCCCAGACCGTGGTGTTCATGCAGGACAGCTCCCCTTGGGGCCCAAAGAGGGCAGTTTGGGGGGTCAGGGCTGACCGTGAGCCACCGGCTGAGCTGTGGGGACCCAGGACTGGGAAGACAGCACCCTGCCCCCTTCTCCTCCATGGCCTGACTCAGAGATGGCCCCACCCCCCACCCCCCGCCCCTACTTTGCTCTCCTCCCTCACCCCTTTTTGTCCAACAAGCCCTCCCTTTAAGTCTTTTCCGTCAGTCCACTCAGCCCTTCTGTCTGCCTCCCCACACCAGCCCCCCATCATCTCTTGCCTGCACGTCCAACCTGCCTCCCTGCTCTTACCCTTGCCCCTGGGGTCCCTTCTGCTCAGGGCAGCCAGAATGATCTTTCTGGAAGTGCTTCTGAATGTGTCCCCCCTCGGCCTAAAACCGGCTGTGGCTTCCCATTACCCTCAGTACGACCTTGCAACTAACACAAACCCAGGATGGCGCGACCCGCGGCGACCTCTGTCCCTCCCTCCCTCCGTGCTACTTCCTGTAGATCTCTGCTTGTGAAACTGAGGATTTGTCAGTTGTCCTAATTAGTCCTGTTTTACTCTCACCCCCTGGACCTTTGCACCTGCCACCGTGCCCTTCGCCGGGAGCAACGCCACAGCCTCTGCCTGGCTGACTCGGATTCAAGCGTTGGGTCTCAGGTGAGACCCCTTTTCCTTTTCTGCCCTCTCCCCCTAACAGCAGACTGGGTCAGGGGCCTCCTCCAGGCTCCCAGGGACCTCGGACTTCCCCGATCGCAGCCCTGACCACCCTGGACAGGGCCTCTCCTTCAGTGCCTGTCCATGCCCAGCATACAGTAGGTGTCCGGGAAAAGGTTCAAGGTCAGGGAGGGAGGACTACTGGGTTGCAGGGCTGAAACGGGCCCTGCTCAGGCCTCCTGGCTATGTATGGCGGGGTGTGGGGGGGGGCAATTATCACAGCAAATGTAATCCGCTGCCTGCTGGGCTCCAGCATAGTCCCATGGAAGATTCTGCCCCACTGCGGCAGAAGAGGCAGCTGGAGGTCACCGAGAGGGCTCTGCCCACAGAATAAGAACACTGGTGATGATCCGTGCCCTGGCTCAGGGCCACACCTGCTCGACCTCCTGTACCGTTATCGTCCCCGGTTGACAGATGAGGAAACTGAGACTCTGCAGGGCACAGTGACTTGCCCAAGGTCCTTCAGCCATGCCAGAGCTGGGACGGGAACCCGGGATTGCGGCTGCACATGTCACCGGTTACCACCGGGCCGGTGGTGGGCGCTTCTCCCAGACTCAGCAGGCCTGGGTTTCTTCGTCCGCACAATGGACCTCCCGAGAGCCCGGACTCCTTCTCAGGGGGGTTGTGAAACCAGCATGCTGCAGGTTAGGGCAGGGACAGGTGCGGGTTCCAGAAGAGGAGGGTCAAAGAGGGGCAGTGATGTGGCCGTGGTCACAGAGCATGGCGGGGGGGGGGGGGGGGGGGGTGATTCGTATCAGCCTCTGAACCCAAGGCAAGTGGCATCCGGTGAGATTTTCTCCATTAAGCTCCGCTGTGAGCCTTGGTGGCAGCAAGGGCACCAGGCGCTGGTCTGCAGCCTGGCCTGGCCCCGTGGGAAGAGCACTGGGCAGGGAGTCCAAGTCAGGCTCTGGCATGGCCTCTCTGTGCCCCTGGCCCATCGTGCCCCTCTCTGCCCTGGATGGGCCACCCATGGTTTGCTTGGGATGGAGGCAATCAACGTGATATTACTGAATCCCCATAACCATCCCGCGAGGCTGCCTGTCTTATTATTTCACTGTTCTCCACGAGGCCGGGAGACGTGAGGTGACCCACCCAAGGTCACTCAGCCGGGGAGTGGCAGGGCAGGAATCTGGTTTTTCAATTTACGGACATACAGTCGGTGCACGCATTTGCATCGCAGAATGTGACTGACGGGTGTTGGCATCTATATGCACCCACAAGACGGTGAGCATCGCTGCCATCCTCCAAAAGTTTTCTTGCGTCCCTTCGTGGGACCTCCTGGCCCCCGAGGTCCCAAGGCCACCACCGAGCTGCTTTCCGTCGACAGGTTAGTTTGCGTTTTCTAGAATGTTCTATAAATGGAACCATCCAGTATGCATTCTTTGTTGCCTGGCTGCTCTCCCCCGGCGTCGTGACCTTGAGATTCCTCCACGTTGTTGGGTGTATCGAGAGTTCATTTCTTCTTACTGCTCAGAGGCGTTCTATGTGTGGATGTACCACAAACTTTCGAGCCGGGTGCCTGTTGATGGGTTGTTTCCAATTTTGCCTGTCACAAACAAAGCTCCTCTGAAGACTCGTGCATAAATCTTTGCATGAACCCAAGTTTCCACTGCGCTGGGATAAATGCCTAGAGGGAGCGGCGAGGTCCCAAGGTAAGTGTACGTTTCAATCTTTAAAAAGCCGCCGAATGTTCTCCAAAGTGGTTGAGCCACTTGACATTCCCGAGAACCGAACCGGGGGAGGAGGGTCCCATAGCGGGATGGGGACTGGAACAGAGGCCTGCCCAGCTCCAGAGCCCCTGTCCCGTCACTGCCGAGCTGGCCCTCGCTCGGAGCTGGCCTTGTTCCCTGGGCTGCCTCGCTGGAGAAGGAGCCAACAGACAGCAGGGGCTGAGATGCTCTCCACCCACAGGCGCCCTCCCTGCCCTGCCCACTGGCATCAGCCACCCCCTCCCCTGTAGGTCTGGCTTCCACTCTGAGCAGAGCGGATGCCTTCTGGAGGGGCCCAGAAGCTCCTGGAGGGCAGGGCAGCCCCCCCCCCCCCCGTGGGTGCCAGGGGAATGCCAGTGTGTCTGGGGGAGCAGGGCTGGACCCTCTGTGGACCCTGTCTCTGGCTTGTTGAGGAAGCCCGGGTCTCCCAGGCCAGTGACAAAGGCTTCTGGGGGGGGGGGTGTTGGGGGGTGCTGAGGATTTTATTGGTCTCCTTACCCAACCTGTGGGTGAGAGACGTGTGTGTGTGTGTGTGTGTGTGTGTGTGTGTTGGTAAAGGGCTGTCCCTTTGAGCTCTGAGAGAGGAGAAAGAAAGAAGCCATCAGAACCTTGGCAGAGGGGAGACACAGAGGGACGGAGCCCCAGACCAGAGAGAGAGAGAGAGAGAGAGAGAGAGGCAGCCAAACCCAAGAGGGGCGCACTCCCCCTCCAGACCCCGGGGAGGTGGGAAGAAGGCGGGGAGGGGTGCGCGAGGGGAGCGCGCGAACCCTTCATTAAAAATGAAACCCCCGAGCCCGGCCCGCAGCGGCCGAGGAGCCGGGCTGCCGGCAGCCTCCCTCTCGCAGGAGCACAGAGGCCCGCGCCGGCTCCAGCCGCCCGCGGCCGACCTCACGCGTCCTCAAAGCCAGCCTGTCCCACTTCCCCCGCCGGTTGCTACAGCAACTGAGCTCTGAGTAATCAGCTGCACGGTGACCTTTCTTCCCCCGGAGAGAGGGAGGGAGGGAGGGAGGGAGCGCTCGGGAGGGAGGGCGGAGGGAGGAGGGAGGGACGAGGGAGAGGAGGAGGGAGGGGAGGGAGAGCGGAGAACAGAGGGAGAAAGATGAAGAGGAGGAGGGGGAGAGGATGGAGGAGAGAGAGGAGAGAGAGAGAGGGGGGGAAAGGTGGAGGAGGAGGGAGGAGGGGGAGGAGGGGGAGGAGGGAGGCTGAGCGGCCGGTCAAAGCAGTAAAAACACTCCAGCTGGGGTCTGGGGGCTTTCGGGATGGAGCTGGCAGGCAGGAGCGGGAGAGAGGAGGGGCAGCCGGGCCTCGGTGATGGGGGAGGGGGAAGCCCGGGGACTGGGGGGGGGGGGGGGGGGGGGGGGGGGGCCGGGGGGGGGCCCCCGCCGGGCCCCCCCCCCCCCCCCCCCCCCCCCCCCCCACTGGCCCTCCAGCCTCAGTGTGGTCTCTCCCAAGTCTGGGGGGATTGTGAGAGAATGGTGAGTCCCTGCTTGCTCTCTGGCGCAAAAGATACCCTCTCCCAGCAGTCTGGAGTCCCCCATTCCCCAGATGGGAAAACTGAGGGCAGCAAGCTGGTTTACAGTTTCAGGACTGGGCACTTGACCCCTGTGACACCCCTTTCCCCCTAAGTGCTTCCTACCAGGAGGCAAACTGCAGCCGGGGTGGGGGTGGTGGGAGAGGGGGAGTCCTCCACCACTCCCAGGGCCCCCACCGCCCAGCTCTCTGGCCTCAGTTTCCCCGGTTGTAAGGCAGGGGCCCCGAGGGGGTTGGTGCTTACTGCCCAGGGAGACCGCACTTGCTGAGGAGGGTCTGTGGAGGCTCTACACCCAGGTATTGGTTTGAAATTCTCTCAGCCCAGCAGAAGCAAGGCGGGGAAGATGTGAGATCCAGGGAGGGTGTGAGCGGAAGGAGCCAGGGAAGGAGTGGGTGCAGGCGGGAGCCCCCAGGGGTCGGGACGCCACCGTGGGAGGGCGTGGAACCCTCCTGGTACCTGCTCTCCTGCCCGCCTCGCGGGATCCTCCCCAGATCGACAGCCCTGGGCCAGCACCGGGCCCATCACCCGCCTGGCCCTGGGGACCCGCCAGCCGCCTGTTTATGAAGCAAGCCAGTCCTGGAGTCACAGCCGCGCCCACGGAATGGGGGAGGGGTGACAGATGGTGGAGGTGCCATTTTAACCAGAGTCTGCAGCAGTTGGGGAAGGGGAGGGGGGCACCCGGGGTTGGGGGAGGCTGGGACCCTGCATTGTTGCTCCCTCAGGGCCCCTCTGCTTCTCCTCTCCACCTGGGCACCTCCCCCAAGCTCAGGTCTGAGAGGCCACCTGACCCAACAGCCTGGTCACGTGAGCCGCCCACACTCCCATGGACTCTATGGGTGCCCCTTGGGGCTGCGAGGTGTTGGGGGGGTCCCCTGGGAGGCCGGGGCGACAGTGATAACCTCTTAAGGCTCGGCAGCTCATGAGGAGAGCCCTGTGACCTCCCAGCACGTAACAAGGACAGGACCGCGGACCAGGAAACACCAGGGGCTGACAAGGGGTAGTGGGCAGGAGGATCTGGGGCCGACTGAAGGCCCCAGAGGCCAACCTTTAGCTCCAGGCTTCGGCTGGAGCACTCAGGGCGGATGGGGAGCGAAGCGTGGGAGGGGTCTGTGTTCTTATCCCAGCCCAGCACTCAGACCCTCTCTGGACCCCAGCATTTGCATCTCCAGCAGTGAAGGGTGCTGGCCTCACCCATCGGGCTAGGAGGCAAAGCGCTGGTGACAGGGAAGCAATGGCAGTGCCTACAGGTAACCGGGAAGCCTGTCTTCTACAGGTGAGGACAGCAAGGCCCAGAGAGGCCAGGGTGCTTGCCCAGGGTCACCGAGCTGCTGATGGGAAGCCCTGTGCCCTGGGTTGTCCAGGACGAGGTGCATGTGAAACAGAGGTGGGTCACAGCCTGCTGCTCTGGCTGGGGGCCTGCCGCTCCCCTGGGACTCTTGGGTCCCTCGAACTTCCCTGTTCCAGAAACCTGCACGCACCCAGACCTTTGTTGAATAAAGGACACTCATGCTACGAGCCCTGTCGTTGGTCTTTTGGCTCCAGAGTAGAGATAATAACAAGAGTGGCTAGGTCTCCCTGAGCACAGCCTGGGCCCCCCCCCCGCCCCCCCGCGCTGGGCTGAGCACCCACGTGTATCTTGCCACGGACCCCCCTAGGTACCCCAGGAGATGGGTGCTCCTATCAGCCTTGTTTTCAGATGGGAAAAGTGAGGCTCGGGGGCGTGCAGTGACTTGCCTCGGGCCCCACAGCACTGAGTGCCAGAGCTGGGATCAGAATCCACGTCTTGACCTCAGAAATGGCCTCTTAACTTCCAGCCCATATCAGTCAGGCTTGACCAGACTCGGGGGACTGAGAATGTTTGCAGTGTTGGACTTCGCTTGTGAACAGAATCCCCTGAGCCCCTATTAGAAAATGTTGCTAGAGGCTGCGCGGGAGGTCCCCGTGGGCACAGGAAGGAGGGGACTCGTGACAGGATAGGACGTGGGCAGGGTGAGATTGGGCGGTAGGGTTGGGGAGGCCAAGGTGCCAGGAGTACTCACAGCCCAGGAATCCTTTCTGATCTTTGCGTACGGTGGGGGGAGGGGGGGGCAGAGACCGTTTCCCTTTCAGACAGATGAGGAAGTTGACGGTCAAGAAGGGCCGGAAGACTTACTACAAGTCCCACTGGGCATTAGGGGTGGGATCAGGGCAATGGCAAGATTCTCTGACCCCCAACTGGGGTGCTTTTTGTTGAATGGCATTGCTGCCCACCCAATCACCCATCATCTACCCTCTCGTCCATATCCCTGCCCATCCATCCATCCATGAACCCATTCACCTATCCATCTTCCCATCTTAATTCATCTACCAGCCAGCCAGCCACTTATTCATCCATCTATCCGTCCATCCATCCGTCCGTCCATCCATCCATCCCTCCACCCATCCACCATCCCATCACCTATTCATTTTATTTGTGGTCTATAACCATTCTGAGTCTTGTGATCTACACTCTTTAGTTAGGAAGCACGTATGTCCGTGTGCACTGGGTGCTGATCCTTCCTCTCTGTGGAGGTGCACCAGCTCCCCCACCACCACCCCCCCTCCCGGCCCCAGTTCAGCCCATCGATTCCAGAGGTTCCCATGATATGGGCCACGCCCCACCAGTCCAGGGATCGAGACCCGAAAGGACTGTGTGGACCAGGGACTGCTCCTCCCTCCCACATAACATGCTGTGTGACCGTTGAGCAATTGAGAACTGAGAATAATTGTCCCTGTCCTCTGAGGATTGGAGGAAACCCATGGGAACCTTAGGAAGGCAACAGCCCTTTACCAACCCGAGGGACAGTTCTTTTGAAGGGGTTAGCAGGGCTCAGCCTTTGGGGGGATCCACTCTCTTATTAGTGAAACCAGCCAGAAAGGTCTCTTGATTCTGCTCAGATCAGCTAGCTAGTCATTCATTCATTCATTCATTCATTCTGTACTAACTGTGTCCTAGGCCCTGTGTAGGACTCCAGGGACCTAGAAATCAATACAAATAGTTTCTGCCCTCAAGAAATTGGCCGACACTTGGCCTGGAACAGAAATCAGTCACTTCGCATGGGTTCTGGTCGAGGCTTGAACTTAGTCCCGGGGTGGGGGGGATTAAGCCCCTGCCCGGGCTGGACAGGTGAGGAGGGGGCCCCAGAGGGGGAACATACTCGGGATCTTGAAGGACAGGGTGGAGGGTGGAGGGAAGGACATCGGAGGCAGGAAGGAGGGCACGTGCCAAAAACCGCGGGGTGGGGAGGGACTTCCTGGAGAACCTACTAAGCTTCAGGGACTGTACCCCGTGTTCCTCCCTCATTATCTCAGTGGATCCTTCCAACAACCCTACGAGGCTGGCATTCCATCCTTTGGCACACTTCGCTAATGAGAGAGCTGAGGCTCAGAGAGGACCCGCGACTTTCCCCAAAACACCCAGCACCCACATGCTAGATGTGACACACCAGCCTCGACCTGTTGGTCTGACGTTTCTCATCCTCCGTCACCTCGAACATCTCCCCCTGAAGGGGAGGGGAGGGGAGGGGAGAAAGCACCCTGTTATCATCCGCATCTTTTCAGAGAGCTTTGGCGGCTCAGGCATGCATCGGACCAACAAATATTTATCCGCGCCTCGGGGTCGGGCCATGCTGTGCTGGGGGGTTGAGCAGTGACAGGACGGGCCCCTCCCTGCCCTCCGCGGGCTCCCAGCTGACCCCTTAGCTCAGGCGACTGACCTCAACTCCTGGCAAAGCCCTGATTCACCCGGGCTTAAAAATAAACCCAGGTGCTGTCCAGGCCCAAAGAGCAAGGGACCACAGGCTCCCAGAGCAGAGGCTGGGGAGGCAGCAGGCAGAACTATCCGCTTGGAACGGGGCTCCTCTCATCAGCATGGGGCCCCAGCCTCCCTGCTTAAAGATCGCCTCGAGCGCTCTCTTAAAGATGCTAACACTGCAGCTGACATTTGGGAGATCCTGGCAGGCGATCAAACCCGAGCTGAAAAATCGGAGCTGCCGGGCGGGCGTTGGTGGTGGTGGTGGTGGTGGTGGTGGGGTGGTCACCAGGCAGCAGGGACCCGGGCTGGTTGGGGGCCCAGGGCCACAGGGCTTGGGCCTAAGACTGTGCGTTCCGTCCAGCCCTGTGCGGCCAGGCTGGGCATCCTCCTGTCTCCCTGCCGGAAGGACTCGGGGACGCAGAAGGCAAGGACGTGGCAGGACAATGGATAAAGAGAGACCCGAGTCTCTTAGCTCAGCCCCAAACTTCAAGTCACTGTCAATGATCAGGACCATCGACCCCAAACATTCATAGGGTGGTGAGGTATGGGAAAGAGAGAAGCTGGAAGGAAGCAGGTGCCGATTACTTTTCTGGCTGAAGCGCCCAGAACTGAGTCCCCACCCCTCGCCTCGGGGCAGGGAGGAGCGTGAGGGGTCCGAGGGAGGAGTTAGGGGAGAAAGAGCCCCACTCCACCTCCTCCTTGGGCACCACTGACCCTCCACAAGCTTCGACAAGCCTGAGCCAACCTCGTCTCTTTGCTCGTCCTTCATATCCAGGCGCCTTCTGCCCACCCACCTACCGCCCTCCATCAACCCCTACGCACCCACTCACCGACCCAATCCACCTGCTTTCCACCCAGCCGATTCGCCCGCTGCTCTTCTGCCGTCTAATTAACCAATTATCCTTTTCCTCCATCCATCCCCGTCCGTTCATCCATTTCCCCAGCTGACCACCGTCCAAACGTCCATCCACTCCCCACGCGGCCATCCAGACCGTCTCTTCAGCACAGGAGAGACATATCCAGCCCGGTGTTAGGGGGTCAGGAGAGGCTTCCGGGAGGGAGACCTTCTAAGCTGAGACAGGTCTCAGGGCAGGAGGAATCCAGGTAAAATGTGAAAGGGAGAGTCTTCTTCCCCCCCGCCGAGAGGTGTTCTTATGGGAGCATCAGGTCGTATTCTGGTTGTAGCTTAAGAGGGAGCAGCTGATCAGAGAGCCAGGAGAGGCCGAGGGCCAGCAGGGCGTGAAGCCTGGACAACTTGCCACACAGGATTGTGGGAAGAGAGGTGAAAGATACAGAAGGCCCAGCCTTGGTCCTATGGCCGTTTAGCACTGACCCGTCCACAGGGGCCCCCTCCAGGTCCTGCAGCCCTCCCACCCACCTGGCTGTCCTCCCCATTCCCAGTGTGCTCCCAGGGAGACCCCTACAGACCTACCCTCACAGGCTCTTCCTCCATATGTGGGAATTCCAGCTTCTCCGGGTCAGGGTCCTATCTTTCTTGTGGTCCTGTTCCATGGCACCGAGCTAAAGTTCAAACAAACAAAACAAAATTCAAGAGATGAAAACTATGACTACTCTTCCCAGATTCTCCCCGTCTTGCTCTTGGACACCCCTTCCCTATATACCC